CTTGCATGAATGCGTAATTACTTGAAACATTGCTCTTCAATTCCAATTTATACTTCTATAATAACAATTATATTATGTATTTCTTAAGAAATTTATTTTAAACCAAACTGCATTCTTCAGTTGGGTTACAAAATTATAAAAACACCCTAAATAAACCAAAACAAAAAGAAGAATCATTGAGAGTATTTAAACACTTGCCAAACTGCACTTTTCCTGGGCAAATCGAAATAGAAGAACAACTCACAAAATATGGATGCTTTCCAAAAACTAACTAAAAAAACAAAGCGGCAAAAAAACTAAAGGGGTGGTTAAGCTTTTGTTCTATTGTTGCTTGCGCTTAGTTCCTCAGCCCCCCCGGCATTCTCGGCCCGGAATACACCTGATAGGGTTTCCACGATCAGTATTTCTAGCATAGGAACTCGACGCAGGTTTATTAATTTCGTTCCGTGCAGAAGAATCACAAGCTGAAACGCGTTTCCTTGAATTAGATGGAGGATTTCGGTGAGCCGCGGGTGGACTCTTTTGCCCTTCACTTCTAGCAGTAGGTGATGGATGCTCAGATCTTTTGCCTAGGCTCTGTTTATTGCCACCTTGGGAACATATACACATACACCCGCAACCACAAAACTATTCAGTAAGAAAGGTTATAGATAAATTTAATTAATTCCATAAATAAGGAAAGAGAAAGCTTACTTTGAGCTCCAGCTATGAAGAGGATTGATGCAACAAAAAAGCAGAAAATAATAAGAGAAAGTCGGTCCATATTTGGCATGTAAGATTTTTTACTTCGGCACCATCTGTTATGGGTATATATATAGTTCTGTTTGACACTGTTTAATTCTAGCAACGTCTAGTGTGCGCAGGAACTAGAAATGCATAGAATATCATGTACCCGCAGAGTACATGACAAACGAGATGTTGTGGCTAAAATGAGAACAGTAAAAATTAAATTAGGTATTTTTTTGGTTGAGGGACTCAATTGAGCATCCATACAATAGTTGAGGGACCAAATGGGACTTTAACCATGAATTACTTAACTTGTTTTAAGTGTAAATAAGATTTTATTTGGTACATCAAGTGCAAATGAGATGTTCATTTGTTTTTTAGTTCTTATAATAGTTTCAAAAAACTAAAATTGATTACCTTAATAACCACAACCATATCAGCTATGTTTTTTTTTTTTTTTTTATTGTTGAGGGTAAGATTCAAATCTCACACTTATCAAATGTAACATGAAAAATCCTTTATAAGAAAGAGATGACCATTAGACCACAAGGACATTCTCATATCAACTACATTTAAAGCAGCTTTAGCTAAAAAAGAAAGAGAAGTTGATGACATAAACTTCTCCCAACTAATAGTCTAAAAAGACTTAAGAACAAAACTTAAGTCATATCTTCCACATTCTAGCTTAAGTAGCAAAAGAAGAAGTCTCTTTCACATCCTAAATTCCATAATACTTGAAGACAATCATTGGGTAAAGCTACGACCATATGATGTATTCTTTTGATTAAAAAGATATTGAATTGAAAAATTATAAGATTAATTATAACTTTAGAAATAAACCAAGTATCATAGATGGTTGGATTATCATATTAAAATGCTAACGTATTATAGCATACAAAGTGCAGATTTTGGCA